ATTTTCTTTATTTTAGTGAAATCTTTTGCCGGGAATGGGCCTTTAAATGGCAACCCAAAATGTTGGTGATTATTGCAATAAAGTATTAAATATAAAAGTTATTAAGAATATTATTAAATTTATAATCCACTATGAGGAGTGGATGTGGCATGGGCTCACCATCTTGAAGTAGGGAGATCTTTGTTATTGTGGTGCATCAAGCACTGGTGCTGTTCCACTACCCATTTTACAAAAGAGTATGAAAGATTAGTAACGAGCTTGTTAGATTCCCTAGTAATGCACCTTTTTTTTCATACAGATTCCTCTTTAACACTTAAATATGCAATACCTCAAGTAGGTTTAGAGTTTATCTTTTGATAATGTAAAATTTAAAGTAAAATTTGAAAAGAGTATTAATATTTTCTGGCTTTAATTCTATTTTTCAGGTATAGATATTGTGTCAAAAGTAAAAAATTTTTCTGATTTGAACATTTTTAATTTTGATTCGTTAGAGTGTCTACATTTTTTTGGACATTGTTTTGTTTTAGAGAGAAAAAACGAAGTGATTTGTACCAGTTATTCCTTCCTTCCTTCTAGCACACATCAATGCGACTGCAAACAGCACATCAAACCTAGCTGGAAATTCATGAGCTGACACTGCAGAAAAGTGGAATTTTACAAGTCTCAATTTTTACTTTTATTTGATCGACATCTAGCAAGAGACACTAACGCAACCATGACACGTCAAGAATTATTGAAAACCTTTCACACTCTCGGTGCAAAGCGACATTATTACATGCTGTGTCAAGTTACTATGTAATTTACACATACATTCTCCCTGTTGCTGAATAATTGCTTTGTTTGTGAATCACTAAGAAAAACTAGGTTTCTGTATTTCTATATATTTTTTTTAGTATCTATACTACCCTTAAAAAAATCTTCAAAAAATAAAATTTTAAAACCATTTCTTCTTAAATATAAATGATCAGTATCCTATGAGAAACAAAATCATTTAGTCTTTTGCTAATTTACTGTTTAAAAAAACAAAAAATACCAAATTAATCACCTGCAAAATAATAATAAGTGTCCCTGTAAAGATTATAAATAATTTATAAACAATTTATGTACAGTGTCTGCTAATCAGCAAAATGTGTTTTATTGGTGTAAACTTCAACTGAAAGCTAATAATTATCTTACCAATGTATTTATTTATTTATTCTATTTATTCGGTATAAAACACTCAAAAGGTAACAAAAGTTGAAATTTTTTTGAGTTGACTTAAAATAATGAATTTAATATATCTTAAGCTGTAAGGAAAGATAAAGAAAAAGACGCAAATTCATGCACAGAAAAAAGACAAGAAAAAAATGCAGTACCAAAGCCAATTCTAATCTTTACACACAAATGGAAACTGACGCAGCCCATTTCTTAAAAATGATGAGTTTGCTAGCTGTCAATCAAAGCAGTATATGATACACTATCTATGGTCCCATCTGAGAATAATTATCTATTATTCACCATTTATCTGCTTATTTGTTAAAATGTCTTCCTTTTTTGTCTATCAGTGGAAACACCTTGTACTCATCTACGTATAGTGAATTCCACTGTGTATAATTTGATCCGTCGATATAAAATGAAAATGAAATTAATTATAATAAATTTAAAATACCATGTTAAAAGATTCAAAAATTGGCATATAAAAAATGTATTTTATGGTTTACACAACACTAATATATTGCATGCATATTATTGCTCTAAAAATGAAGTAAGAGAAAACACACAACCAACCAAAAAAATCTGAAAAATCTTTAGTCGGCTTATTTTTTGTTTATTTTTTTACCAAGGATGAGGGTGAGCGATGGTTGGTTGGTGATAGGTATAGGCCATGGACATACATCAATTGAGACCTGTTGATTTTTATGTATAAACTGGTCAAATTAAGCTAAAATTTATTCAAAATATCATGTAGTAATTGCCTTAACCAAAAACAGACTGACACAGGTTTTCAAGTGTCACCAGTGGCGGCCCGTCAAGGCAAGCAAGGTGCTCTGCATACCCAAGAATAAAACTCCAAAAAAATATTTTATTGTGCCCTTTTTCGTTTTATTTAGTATTTATTGGCCAAAATGTTTTATACCAACCTTAATTTGTTTTTAGTTAATTGCTACTTTCATTGGAATATCTAAGTTTTATTAGTTTTTCAATCTTTAGGCCTTTTAATATCATAGGATAGCGAGCCTATCGCGTCATACTCTCCGTTGCTTTGAGTTTCCACATGGCTGGTTTCAATACTGTACCAGCCAACGCCTGAACGCGCTTGTGAGTCAATAGAAGTGAGAGCATACCTTGTAATCTAACCATGTGGTTGCATTAGAATAGCAAATTTAACACTGGTTTGGTTTGATTAATGCGCAGAATTATGGGTGATAATTGCTCGTCACCTTCTCATTCAGGGGCGGATCCAGATATGTCCGAAAGAGGGGCTAATAATACCACCCTAAGTTTTCTGGGGGCGTATGCCCCCGCAAAAGTTTGCAAAAAATTTTTGTGTTCTAGATGGTCAGGACGAAGAGTCCACACCAACCCTCAGCCCTACCATTGTTTGAGCTGAGGTTGCGATTTTTTAGGATTTAGCACTTCTATACACTTGGAAATAGCACTCTCAAACTTCAAAAACGATTTTGAAGTATAATTTGACAATATGTAAATGTTTATTTTTTGGCATTACAACTATTTAAGCTTCCATCCCAAAAACATTCCACATACTGTGGTCTGATTTCCAATGAGGAAAACATGTATATTCCAATGTGATGTTTAAATACTGTTTCTTTTTACTCTGCTAAAACCATGAATGGCAATTTAGTGGTAAATTGGTAATCAAATTAAGGACAATAATAGTATTATTATGTGAAAATCATCAAAAACTGAAATTTGATCCTTCTATACAAGGAAATTCAATATTTCAATATTTTTTTAAGGGTTTTTCCAGATTTTAGATTCATGTACTTTATTTTCCAATGTAATTTTATTTTATTTTATTTTATTCCTTTCAGCCAGTACAACAACAACAAAATCAATAAAGAACGAGGAGGGCTGAGGAGTGGCAAAAGCGGTATAAAAACTACTATCACCGGATATGGTGTGCCCCTCCCATAATCACATATAAATAATTGAGTTTCTATATTTTTAACCATTTTCAACCATTTTTAAACCATGAATGAAAATTAACTGGTAAAGTAGAGATCAAATAAACTATAATCAATGTAATGTTGAATTTTTGAAGGGTTTTTTTTTTTCTAAGTTTTACCTTATCTTTCAACTGTACCATAGCTTCTTTGGTATAGTCCCAACCTCCTTAAACATTAAATGAGCTGATTTTAGGTGTCGGCTTCTACCCAGCTATTCTCCATCCAAAAAAAATACACACAATTTCAATTTGTTTTCCTGGCTTAATTCATGGAGTACTGTACAAATTTCTGTCAAAGATTTTTTTATGGATGTGATGCTGAACAATATATTTTTTAGCCTTACAACCATTTAAGCTTTCAATCCATCCCAGAACATTCCACATACTGCAGTCTCATTTCTGCTTTCTAGTCAAAACGGCAATAAGTCAAAACGGCAATGACCAAAACGGCAATAGACCAAAACAGCAATAAACCAAAATGGCAACACTTTTTTGCCAGAACGGCAATGGACTAAAACGGCAATAAACCAAAATAATAACATAAATAATAATAAAAATAATAGGCCAAATAACAATATAACAACATACAAATTCAATAATAAAAGATTAGGGGAAACACAATATAGAAGCAGTAAACAATCATTCAAATAAATAAAACTTTAAAATACAGCAAAATGCTTCAAAAACAATTTATTTAATAAAAGTAAAAAAACACGGAAAAAAAAGTAAATTAACAAAAATTAAATAAAAAAATTAACTTAAAAAAACAATAATAATAATAATAATAATGAAAGTAATTATAATAATAATAGAAATAATAACACAGTATAACAACAATATAGAAGCAGTAAATATTCAAATAAATATAACATTTAAATATAGAAAAAATGAGGCATCTAAACAATTTGTCATGGATGTGTAAAAAATTTTTTAAAAAGCGATTAAACATTAAAAGCAGGAAAACGAGCCCATGCCAATATTCAAAAATTAATAACTGCGGTGCGCCCGGTGGCACTTGCTCTTGGCATTGATTTTGCTCATTTGCCGTTTTGGTACTTGTCGTTGCAGTTTTGGTCTGCGACCGTTTTGGTACTTATCACTGCTGTTTTGGTTTATTGCCATTTTGGTTATTGCTGTTTTGGTCATTGTCATTTTGGTTTGTTGCCGTTTTGACCTGCTACCCTGATTTCCAATGAGGAAAACATGTATATTCCAATGTGATAAATACTGTTTCTGTATTCTCTGCATGAATGACAATTGAGTGATAAAGTGGTAACCAAATTAAGGAATTATTAGTAAAACAAAGTGTAAATGATATTTATTTAATTCTTAATGTGATTTCAATTTGTGAAATTCCTCTATACGATGAAATTCCATATTTAAATGCATTTTTTAAAGGTTTTTTCCAGATTTTAGATTCATTTCCAATGGAGAAAACATGTACTTTATTTTTCAAATTGATGTATAAATAATTTAGTTTCCACATTTATTGCATAAAAAAGAATGGGAATTAAGTGATGTTGAATTTTTGAAGGGGTTTTTTTCCAAACTTTACTTCAAACAGTATCTTTGTCTGTGCTTTATTTGTGTTTTATTGTTGTAATCTGTTTATTTGTCTTTGTTTTTTGTGTGACTGTACTATTGTGATGCATAGGGTTCCTGAATAATGACTGATTTTATGCCTACCATTGTTTTCCTGAAATATTGAGGCTTGGCTTGCGCTTCTTAACCGCAAGTGAAAGGCACAATATAACCTAGTACCAGTACCAGTACCATATCTTTGGTAGGCCCGAACCTCTTTAAACACAAAAATGAGCCGATTCCAGGCCTTCTTCCCAGGGTATTCCTCATCCCAAAAAAAATTTTGTTTGTCCATACTCCTAACTTGTAGGGATGGCCAATCTATAAGGGATTTTCAGCACGAAATGCCTAATTCAAAGTCAGTCGTTGGTTTCTTTCTGAAAGTATTTCAAATAGTATCTACCTAAAGCTTCAAACTTTAAAAAGCACTATCTCTATCTTTTAAAAGGAGCATTGCACATTGTACAGTAGGTGATTTTCAACCATGTAGGGCCTTGGGATCTTCACGCAAGACTAGCTAATCATGCCTGTAAAAACTCGCCGAAGAAAATCTGACAGCTTCGAGTTCTAAAAGTGCATACAAATACATCCTTTGCTTGTCACACGTCAAAAGACCTTGTCAATTAGAGCACAGTACTCGCAATTGAAAAGCTGCCACAAATGGATCTGTTAAAACATGCTAAATAATTTCCGTTTATAACAACTACAAATCATAAACATGATGCTACAATTTTTGGTTTAATGTGAAGTCTGTTGAATTGTGTGAAACAGTGTGAAACTGGAGTGGCACATGTGATATGTACATTGTTTTAAACTATCTATGCCCACACACTACTACAATTTAAAAACCGAATGCTTTCCCTTGATATTTATCCGGGTATACATTTTCCTGTTGATGAATGAACATTAATGAGAGAATGATGACTGTCTTTGGCATTAGAGTCTCATTACTGTATTTATCATGATATGCAGAAATCTACATATAAGCACAGCATGTGTGATTTTATTGGGAATGACTGTTTATTAGTTTATTAATTTTAAATGACTCCTCCCTTATCTACAAGATAATCTACACTGATGAGAGCATGAACCACCCTATTATGTGCTAGATTCATGCGAAACATGCCATACATCAAGACCAAGTTCACAGGTGCACACGCATCTTACGAACATCATCTGCTGAAGCATAATTGCACACATGATCTGGTTATTATTTAACTGCTGTTGATGATTGTGAGCAGTATGTGTGTGTGCACAGGTAGACCTATTTATCAAGTGTTTTGCCTGTTTACAGAAAATTTTGGACAAAAAACAGGAGCAGGATTTCTATGAATTAATTATAGGCACAAAAAAATAGAACATGAAGGTCATAAATATATGAGATTGACACATGGCAGGGGAGGGGGATAAATATATTCTCTAATTCATAGGGAATAAATGCATTGTGACCCTGGGGAATGGAATGTTTCCCTGGAGATTAAAATGGCACAGGGCCTTTGTGGTATTATCAGCCTGTATTTTCTGGCTGATGTGACAAACATTACTCTACACAATCAATCTGAATGAGTAAACCAAGTAGTACCATTTCTTATAGTAACAAGGAAAGGTATTTTATATTATCATATTTATCATGACCATATTTAGGCATGTCACATGTTTTGTCAAATAAAATTTGATAGTCTGGACAGAAAATGCTAGGTCTGATTCACTTTATCAGTGGGTTACTTTTGCATAAGGTACTGTAGCTGGAGCAGATGCGGGGGTGGGGGTCCAGACGGTGCGATCGCACCCCCTAAATTGTATTAAGAAAAATAATTGTATTTATTGTTGACATGAATTATTGGTAATATTTTTAAGACGAAAGTGCATTTTCCTGGCACCATATTCTCAAATTTTTGCATCTCAGCACCAACCATGTTGGTACTAAGATGGTGTGGACTCTCATGCAGCCATGGGCATAGATCATGGGAATAAGGGACAAGTTCTCCCCCTACATAATTTAAGAGGGGGGTGGGCTGATTGCCTTCACTTTTCATCTGCAATGCAATTTCATAAGTAAAGAAGATGCCTGAAAATTGTTAATTATAAACTGCATAATGTCCCAGATTTTAACGAAAGAGCACTCCACATTCAGAGTACATCTTATTTTATAGCATCCCGGTATCATTGCCCACAAACATCTGAATTACATACTACAATACCCCCCTCCCCCCAAAAAATCACAGTCAAGTACTTAAAAAATCACCGAAAATCACCTCTTTTGTGAATTATCGCCCCTCAAATGATCACTGAGCCACCCCCACTTCACCTTCACTCCTCCATCTACCCCAATTTCAAGACTTCTCGATATTCCACTGGCAGCTTGTCAGTCTGGGTGTGTTTTTGTGTGTTTTACTTGGAGGGGGTGGATTGTAGGTTATGTTGCGTGCGTTTTGGTTTGTTAAAGGCATACTTTTTTCTGTTTTGTAGTCCCAATCTCGTTTTCTTTGGTTCCTTGTTTCCTGCTTTTTGTCTGTTTTACGTAATTTGTAACTTTTTGATGTGATTTTGTAGGTCTACTTTTTAATGGTAACTGAGCTTAGTTCATTTTTTCACATTTTGATATGTTTTTCTTGTGAAGAAACTTATCGATTTCTATTTGTATTTCTCTGCGGTAATGTACTTTTTTCTGTGTTTAGGCCCTGTACAGTAATTTGTAATTTTTTATAAATGTTTGAATATTTTAAACAACTTAATTTTTGCAATCCAGTTTCTTAACTGCAATTAATTATTCTATGTACTATTTTATTTTGATGTGAATAAAGATACCAAGATGCATTAACCAGAAAATTCATTGTTTCCAGCTAAAGTACAGATTTTTTTATATGCCTCTTGACCAACATAAAATATATATCACTACATACCACCACATCCACGACACTTAACTGAGGGAACCCACAGGTTGGATGATCCAGTGTCAAAAAGAACTTTGAATTTCTGTGGGGGTGTCCCAATTGTGATCTCTCCATAGTACTCCATCTGATAAAATAATGTATTTTAGTTATTTATAAGTAACAGAAATTTTCAGTAATTTAATAATAATAATGAAGACAATGATGATAATAATAGCAAAAGGATAATAATCATAATAATATTCTGTAGTTATTTAATTTCAATAGTGATGATGGTAGATGGTAATTATAAATATGATGATGATGATGATGGTGATGGTGATGTTATGGTGATGGCGACGATGATGATCCCTGTCTTTACTTATAGTTTCCAGTTTACTTTCTGTATTTCTTATCAATATTATACAAAATTTTAGAACAAGTTAGAATATGGAGAAAAATGGATTCCTTAGGGTCTTACATCTAGACAATTTGTCAGTGGCTCCCTTACAGGCCCTCCAATCAAGTTGTACTTGGTTTGCAAGTTGTACTTGGTTTGCAAGTTGTGCTTCAAATATTTTTCCATCGGAGTGCGTGAACCAATCAACTGACGACGCAAACTATCAAACTTAGTGAGACGTATCCTAAGTAGGAAACAAAAATTTGGTTTATAATACTGAAAATTATAATAAATAATAATGATAATAATAATAATTAATATTAATAATATATATTAACAATAAGATATTCTGCTATCATTTTTTTAAATATAAAGTCTTGTCCTTTGAAAAATTTATGTAAAGGAGAGTGTATCACATTGACAACTGTTTTATACATGCCAAAACACTCCTGATTTGACCAAGAAACTCCTGATTTTGTCCCAATTTTACCCCAGCTTCTGATTTAAAAATGAATTTAATCACTATATTATACAGATAATCAAATTTAGTCTAAATCAAATTTTACAAATCAGTAATTACATATTCAAATCAATCATTTTGGCTCTCTAAACAGAAAGAATTAACCCCGGAGCTTCCAGGGTTTCGCCCCCCAGACCCACCACACGAGAGGGAACACTCCTCGCCTTCTCCCAAACCCAGCCCCCACTCGGCCTCCAGGCCTCAGCCTATGTGTAGCGCTAAATTGTAAAAATCTATGAAGAAACACATACATCTTATTATTTTCTGATTTTTATTACTCAAATGTTGGCATGCATGCTGTTTCACGTGTGTGCATTGCATCAATTAGATTCAAACTTTGACCAGTGGACCAGTTGGTTAAAGGCCCTGCCCAGAGTTTTCTTTTTATGCAGACAAATATGGTTATATAGAACATCAAGGAAAAAGGTGTGATATCCAAAGGCCAAAAGATCTCCCGTTTTGTTTCCTCTATTTCTTAAGTCCCCCTGCCCCCCCCCCCACTGGTGCTGCCACTGATCAGTGTGCCTAGTAGTAGTAGTAATAAAGCTTTATTTATTCACGGAACATAACAATTTACAGGCTGTTTTTTCATCATGGTCATGATAAAAAATATCAGTCAAATTTACAAAACATATAATATAAAGCAAAAACTCAATACCGTATAATGAAATTTACATTATACAAATGCACCAAGAGTCAATTAGTCAATTATTTGGATAATGCTTATGTAAAATCGGCACACCTTCAGATGTAACCTTACAATGACTAGACAATAATTAATATAGATTAGAAAACACAAGATCAAAAATTTTTTTAAATAATAAGTTCAGCTGCCATATAAAGTATAATGAACATAAAGTGTGATGATAATCACACAGTGATCGTTCCTTGAAATTAAAATTTTAAAGTAAATAGACATTTTGAAAACAAGTACAAAATACTAATATAAAAACTTTATTTAAAATAATTTTTAAAAATTTATTACAGAAACATTAGAAAATTCAAGATCAAATACATTAAAAAAAACAAGCTTCTGTTCTTTTGATTTTACTAATTAATATAGGCTTATTTATAATGTTTTTCAATAGGGGGTTGCTTTTGTCATCACTAATGGGAAAATGATTTATCGCATGATTTAATTTTCCTTTACTTTACTCATTTTTTTTAAATTTAATTTTTGTACCCAGGCCAGATTTAATGGCTCCACAGCCAAATTTATTAAGAATCAGGAATATAGAGTAAACAGGCCTATTTTATATTCTTTTTCTTTTTCTTTTTTTTTTTTTCCAAGATTTCAAATTAAGGCCAAAACAAATTGTTTGTTTGCTCTTCTCCACCCGGCCCAACTAACTGACGAAAATAGGGGCGGGAAAACAAAAAAACTTTTTTTTAGATTTTTGCTTTACAAATTAAAAAAAATGTAAGTGAATTTATCTTTATTTTTTGCCAGATGCCCTACAAATTAGTCTAAAGTTGTTGTAAAGTTGTTGTCTAGTGTAAGATATTGCCATTCTAGGCCTCTGTAGGTTATTTTTGTTCCATCTGATGAGTATAGTCTTTAAAAAAAAAAAAAAAAAACGAAAAAAAAAACTTTTCCACCTGCCACTTTTTATCATTTTAAAAAAAGAATGGCAAACAAACAATTTATTTTTTTAGGCCTAAGATGAAACTAATTCCTCCATGAATGAAAATTATAATAATAACAATATTTGATAAAACAAATACTACTGTATATCTGACTGATTCTCACCGCTCAAGTCGTCCATAACCCAAGTGACTGCAACTGATAAGTAAAAGCCAGCTTATAAGAAACTTCATCTTGTGTTCTTTTCCAGAAGACTACCAAAGAGTTAATGCAAAAGCAAGTACTTAGTACTCCTGTCCTTCAGTAACGTTCAAGTTAGGTCACGTGGCATGGAGCGGTATCCAACCAGGTGACGTCATAGTGATGGCAAACAATGATGATGATCGGCTGAAGGCTGATTAAAAAAGCTAGAAATTGGTTTCACAGAAGTTTTTCTCTTGACTTATTTCTTGAGTAAGAAGGTACGAAGTAACCGTTCAAAGTCAAATAAGATTGCTGGCAATTTTATATGTTTATTCGGTGCTTCGTTCATTATTTTTTAGAAGGTTGTTTGTTGTTGCTCAACCTCTCTTTTCTAACGATAATCTAGCTAGGCCTAGGCCTAGTAGGCCTAGGGCCTACCTAGCCGCCTAGACCCAGGCCTAGCCTAGGCCTAGGTTACCTAGGCTAGGCCTAGCGTAAGTGTACTCTCGGCCTAGGGCCTAGGTAGTACACTAGTACTAGGGGCCTAGGGCCTACTCACACCTGTACTGCTGTGCTAATAATTTAGGGCTAGGCTATTAGCCTAGCTAGCCTGAATCATGATACAACTGGGGCGGGGGAGATCTAGGCCTAGGCCTACATCCTGGCTGGGCAGCAGGCCTAGGCTAGGCCCTACATACTGTCTGTACTGTAGTGTACAATAACAATATGCAATAATTTAAATTAATAATGTTCAAAATAGCAGGATTTATATCTTTTGTTTCTTTATTATTTAGGTTATTTTGATGTTGAATTGAGATGTAATAGACTCACAAAAAAGTATGGCAGATAATACACTTGTTATGGATGGGATTGACGACAGGCTTGACAGTTTTCCCCTTCTGCCGCTGTCAACTGATCTTGCATCCTTTGAAGAACTCAGAAAAAGGCAACGTACCAGAGGCAGAGATTACATCCACACAGAAGTTGATAACATCATCCAAGAACATGGGTACCAGCAGTATGGAGATGATGTACTAAAGAACTCTTCAAGTCGACGGAATCGCAAGATACAACTTGTGATTCATGATGCTCTACTGTTGATCTTAGACTTCATCCAAGTTTATGCGTTAATTATGGCAATGTCCATACGCTGGACGTGGCCATATGATTGGCTGTATGTATCACGTTTTGCATTCTTCTTCAATTTGGACATCTGGGAATTCCTAAAGGTGAATGATGAAAGTGTGTTTTATTCTGTCCGTGATAGCTTCATTGCAAGCTCTTTGATTTCATTAGATTATCGTTTTCTCATCTTTGGGTGGATGGTGTTTGTCTTTGTTGGTATTGTTATCTTCATCAGTCTGTACATTTACATGAACTACCAAAAAAACTACAATCTGCTGCTACGGATTGCTACTATGCAGCGAACTTACATCGTCTTATGCGAGGTTATAGCACTACCGATTGGTGTTACCATGGCCAAACTCTTCCATTGCAGCAACGATGGAAATTTAGATGTGCATAATGAAACTTCCTGCTACAGTGGGGAGCACTTTGCCTATATAATTGTTTCGTTGACCATTGCTGTCAACTTGTACATACTTCTACCAATCTGGATGATAGCCAAGATTCGTACACAGCTCTTTAGCAAAAAAGCTGAACGACATGAAGGCTACCTCCAGTTAAAAGAATCGGAATTCAGCCATTCACTTGATGCATTGTGGGCTTTAAATCTTTACCACATCTTCTCATCTTTCAAGCGTTTCTGGGCATACTATCGTCCTGTTATGATGTTCATGAAGTTTCTCCTTGTGATATGGTATGCGATATTTCTAACAGAGCTGCTGGTGCAAATTAGTTTAGTTCTTACTACCATATTGATCATCTTTATCATTATGGCCATCAAACGCCCATTCCGTGTAACCTCATTTAACGTCTACATACTGTGCAGTTTCTTTTCATTGACTCTCTTAGCCTTCATGGGTGTGATGCAGAATACTGACAACAATAATGCATTTTTCACACCAACATACCTCTATGATGAGTTAATGGCAATTCTAGGCTTCTGGCTTGGAGTCACCTTCCTTTGGATCATCTACATCGTCCTCCGATATACAGGAGTTTTCTGTTCCCGAAGACCTCTATGGCCTCAGATGACTACTCGTGGAATGGCGAAACTAAGTGAAGATACGCAGAAATATATGCGTGCCCTGCTGGAGGGGCGAATAGTCCTTGAGCATGCTCTCTTAACCAATCCACTCTTCAGCCCAGCACATGAGGTCTCACGGCAGATACAGATCATAAATGCATATTGTCGTGAAGCAGAGCTTCTGAATGACCCCATTCATGATGCTCTGTGGGATCTTCTTGATGAGCTGATAGAAGCACACTCAAAGATAGCTCCTGTGTCCCTCTTTGCAGAGTCTGTAAAAGCATCAATTAGAGAGACCTCACAAGAACTGTTGAAGATGATGCCGGAATTCAAGCGACGTCTTGCGCAGCGTGAATATGATTTTATTCTGATGACACCAATGAAGCGGAGGATGCTTCTTAAGATGTATGTCCTTGGTAAGTCTCGGAGTTCTATCAGCAAACTGGTAAATAATTAAAATACAGTACATACAAGTAAAGCTAAACCCTTCATTATTGAGATGATTCTTATTTAATCAGTAATACATTTATGCTGAAAAATGACTAGAATCAAGTAAATACAGTTAAAGTTGCCTAAGTCGACTTTGCCTAACTGTGATTTTCATTAATAAATGATCTGAGCGCATAGAGATTTTGTTTATTTGCACTATATATATAAATCCATCTATTATTGTTATTATTAAACAACTTTTCAATGCCATTTTGGATTCAACTTAGGCATGTTGAACTTTAAAACTAAAAGCAATTGTCAGTGTAATGTCTGTAAATATTTTAACATTATTTTAGGACTTGAATCATCATAATTTTATAATTTATAACCAATAATTATCAAGTTTGTTTGGCTGTTCTGTAAAATACAAGCTTTATTTATTCAATAAACAAATATTTATACTTATAGTACTTGTGAAAAACATTTTAAATTTGATTTGTTGAAATTTGTTTTCTTTAGGAATCTTTGTAAACGGTCATGTTGACAAGTCACGAGCACAGCACACCGACACCGTCCAGAAACTGTACAACCCAATGGAGTCTCTGGTTCTTAAGCATCGACAGGTGGAAGGCAAGTATAAAATGGCCATACCTTTTTTTGGAGTGACCTTCATTATATTTGTACTTATATCCTAATGGTTTTGGGAAGGTAATTTACAAAAATACACTTATGTTTTCCATTAAAAAAATAGAAGTATCACCCAGCATAAGAAATGGTATCATTATTGCATTACTTTGAACATATTTACATAAGTAAGGAACATCATTCCAATTTTGAGGAACATATCCCTAAACTCGTATATCTACTTCTATACATAACTTATGTTTAGTTGACGATTCCTTTTTTCTGCTGAGTGAAAGAAGCTTGATGTTTTTATGTAGAGTAAACTATTTTTAATATCATGAATGTACATCGTTATCAAAATTAAATTAAATTCAGAGAATGCTTCAGACAAAAATCAAGACATTCTGAATGCTGAATCAGAGGACGCTGCCTAAAAGAAGCACTACCTCACAGTGACAAGGCACACTGCCTCTAATCTATTTGGATTTTCATTGTGAAGTAGACAATGTTTTACATATTTCACTTTCGGCATTTTTTATCACCAAGGACATTTTAATTATGTGTACATGTTGCTCAATCCCCATAAACAATTTTTACATTAAATGCAAACAGTTTCAGTCGGATGAAGACATAAAACAATCGCTGATTTAGAAGTGAAAGTTAACAGTCTAGAAGATGGTGCGCAACATAAAACAGACAGTCTGATTCTATTTCTGAACAAACTTTTTAAAGAGAATGAAAACATCGACACCAGCTGTCTAAAATCAATCAATCATCTACATACATACAATACATATGATTAGTTTTTGTTACTGTACATACCGGTAGTATAAAATAAGGCACATTCACAAAATGTAAGGCAGTGAGGGCTTCACTTAATTTTTGGGATATTTTATGGATTGTTAATGATGGGGGTTAATTAATGTTTTCTATTCATTACCCTCTAGATTATTCTTAATTTAGGGGACGTTTTTAGATATGTCGGCTCATAAGCGGATTCAAGCGAGTTGGGCCCAGCTGGCCCAGACAACCTAAATTTATGAAAATATCTTTAACATGAAGAAACTTTAAGTCTGAGAGAGCTGTATTTGTGTCATAGCTATAAACTTTCTTACCTCAGGCCCACTCATGATGGGGCTGAGATGGTCTAAACTCCCAATCTGTAAAAATCCTTCTCTGATCTGCCTCTTTTTCAAATTTCTGGATCCAGAAATGAAAATGGGGGAGGGGGTGCCAATTAGGTAGGGGAATGAGGACATACAAGTTGATTTTAAACTACTTGAGTGCAAATTTCTAGGGGAAGAGAAAGTACCTGGAGAAGTTTTCTGGAGTGATGGGGTGTATCTTAGGTACACCAAAGAAGAAATTTTTGTTAGGTGGATTATTTGCTGCATGTACTTTTTTGTATCCTTTTTCAAATCACTATAAATGTAGACAACTTGTGGTAGGCCCTCTACAAATCTACAGCCATTAATAATACCTTTCTATATTCTAATTGAAAATTAACCTTATTACATTACATGGTTCTTTTTGAAACTAGTATTGTATTTCATTATTTTATTTAATCATTATTTTTTAAATAGGCGATGATGGTTTCTATGACGACTTTGATGGCGATCAGTTTGAACTTGGGCCTACAAGTCACAGACTAAACCTAAAGCAGCAGAAAACCATTCAAGCGATAGAGGTGATAGATGAAGAGGTTGAAGAAGTCAAGTTTAAAAGGAAGAGGACCAATACATTTGTGGTATGTCCTTATATACACTAATAACTTTTCAGAAATTTTCAGGATTGGGGCTGTAGGCCTACTTTGATCCTACTAGACGGTACTTTACATTCTGTTTTGAATTCAACTACATTCTACAAAAATAAATGAGAGGGGAGATATCAACTTTATCAAATATTTAACAAATTGAGAGATTAATTTGTTATGCATGGTTATTTTTTATTATTATGCCAAATGTTTTGTGTGAGGACCTAAAATTGAAATAAGCTTTAACTTTTTTGTGTTATCCTCTGAATTCTGCTTTATCATATTTTTATATTGTATTCCTGTATATTTTGTATAAGTTCCAAATAAGGTCAGTCAATCAATCAGTCATTATCTTCAATATAACTTAAAAACACACTGAAATCAATACCAACAACTCCTCATGTTTTGCTTATGGTTTTTTTTTTTAATTATTATTTAAGAGTGAAATGTCAAGTTTTATAGATGATGATGCTGATCTAGCATACATGATGTATGGTATCCCAAGTAGACCAGCAACAACAATGGATGGCAGTAGGAGTGTACATAGGTATAATATTTTAATTGTATATTATATATTTCCTTCAGTAGTAGCTCAAGGGGAGTAATACAGGAAAATCCTCATCATCTTCATCAACATCATTGTCGTCATCGTCTACATAATTCATTCATTCATTATTCATTATTCTTTATTTCAGACTTTACATCCATAGTTAAACATCGTCAACTTAACTACTAATAATATAAATACAAGGGGAAAATAAACCCCACTGATCCTTAGAAATTAAGGATTAACATAAAGAAGTTCGTTCCATCTTTTTGAGAGCCTAGAACTTTCAAAAAATCCATTTACAGAACGAACTAAAGCGTTCACACAAGTAGAAAATCGCTTTAAAAAGCTAAAGATTGATTTTCTCATAAATTCTTGGAAAGATAATAAATTATTATTAACAAATAGTGCATTAGCACTACAGTATCTCGGTTGGCGTAACAGTTTTCTTAAAATATTGTTATAACATACTCTCAGTGTGTTCATAGATGAAAGCCTATACATAGACCAGAGCGTAGCACAATAAAAACTTATACAGAAAGAACGAAATAATATACATTTGACTTTATCATTAGGCCTAAAAAAATAAATTTTTTGTTTGCTCTTTTTTTTTACTAATAAAAAGGGGCGAGTGAAACTTTTTTTTTTTTAAGATACTCATCAGATAGAAAAAAAAAACACAGATGCCTAGAATGGCAATACCTTACATTAGACAACAACTTTAGACTAATTTGTAGGGCATCTGGCAAAAAATAAATATAAATTCACTCACATTTTTTTTAATTTTTAAAGAAAAAAGCTAAAAAAAAAAATTATTAAGTTTTTTTGTGTTTCTGACCCTATGTTTTTTCAGTGCGTTAGGTGTGGGTGCAGGAGGGCAAACAAGCATTTTCTTTTTTGTCTTACGCTTTTCATCATTATCATCAACATCATCAAATCACCATCATCATCGTTTTCATATCATCATCACCATCATACCTTTGCAGTGTTTAACACAGAATTGTGAAAAATGGAGTAGTTAGTATGTTGAGTGAGTTGAATGAATTAATGATATTGTCTATTTTTCATTATTGCTAGCAAACCATTGTAATTTTTGTTGCAGAAATTTTTTATTAAAATCTTTAAAATTCTCCACAATTTTTAAATCTGTTTTTACAGCAGGCAATCACATATATCATCAAAAAGCAGGGTAACTCGCCGAACCCAGAGCCAGGCATCAATTTCCAGACATCCGATTAGCCAATTGTCATACTCTACCAACGAACCATTGCCAGCTGCCCCTGATCCACCTAATAAGACATCCGTGGAAGAAGACGTGCGTTCACCAAGCAGAACCAGCACACAGGCTGATGTGGCTCAGCTTGAGTCAAGCAGAGTGTCAGTTCAAGAGAACAGGCCTAAGAGCCAGGCAAGCAGTAACTCCCAGCCTCCAAATTCTTAAATTAGTATATTAGTGCCTACAAGTTTTAACTCATATAGTGAGTCTTCTTTCAAATTATCTGACCTTCAACGAGTGTACATATTTTCCTTTCATTTGGTTTTTTTAAGAATTTAAATCTCAATTTGTTTTGGCTTGGAGGCTTGTTTCCAAAATTAGGAATAAAGAATTAAATGGTGATCATTAATTAAGCAAATAAAAAAAAAAAACTTTATTAGGTTTTATGAACGTTTTGACAAATCTTCATCAATGAAGAGGCTTATATTTTTAGTCCAGAAAGTTATACAGTATGTTTTTGTATACACTTCTAATGTAGTATATATTTAATGTATATATATATACTTTATATAAAAGAAACTGTTGTGATCATTCCATAGAAATTACAATAGTGTAAAAAAATATATTATTATTATTATTTTGATTATTATTATTATTATTAATAAGCAGGTTAATTTTCACCAAATATATTGTATGAAATTTGTTTATATAGTTAATATATGCATATAGGATTCCGTCCACCAAGAAATATAATATGTAATAAATATACTTTGAGAAACTGTTCATTCCATAGAAATTACAATAGTGTAAAAAACATATTATTATTATTATTATTATTATTATTAATAAACAGGTATTTTTGACCAAATATACTGTATAAAATTTGTTTATATAGTTAATAAATGCATAGGATTCTATCAACAAGAAATGTAAATTTACATAGAATATAATGAGTTTCTATTGATTGAATAATGTATATAATATTTGTTAGTATGCACTATACATTTCATATCTATATAAATAATGCTTTAAATTTATAGAAACTATCATGATTATTCCATATATAAAATTACAATAACTTTAAAGACACAAATGTATTTGTCTACTTTGTTTACTGATATGTGGTTTAATATAACATTGAATTTCACTAAATGTATACTGTATCAAAGTAGTTTAAATTATTAATTTTATTGCTTGTAAGATTCCGTCCACTAGAAATACTAACTTGCACATAAATATAATGTGTTTGCAAAGATTATTTAGATTAAATTTTATTGGAGTAGGGCTGCAGCCTGAATAAGATGCTTGTCTTAATAATAACATAATATTGTGATTTAATAAATGCCTGTTATGTGATTTAGGAGTGTAAACTTGAAAGTTTATGTTCAAGTTGATGTCAGGGTGGCCTAATAAGTGAGCAAAACAAGTGTGATATTTGCAAGCAGAGTGAGCAAACAAATGCTGGGGGCAATGACTGTTAGTGGAGGGGGCCCTAATAAGTGAGCAAAACAAGCGTGAAGTTTGCGAGCAGGGTGAGCAAACAGACGCTGGGGGCCGGGGGGGGCGTGAAGACCCCTTGGGTCTGAGGGGCCTATCTACTCTATGTAGGTTTAAATAAATACAGAGAATATTTCAGTGAGAAACAAAACAAAAATGTTTTAATAACGTATGCAAAGCAGATTGATCACAAAATCAGAAACAAATGTCAAACATCAGAATGCAGCTTTTATTGTTTAAAAATGTCAAGGCCCCATTGAATAAAACTATGGTATTATTTATAGTTTGTATTAAATTTTTTTTAACTACAATGTCTGGTCCCCTCGTGCCTGGGGTCCCTGGCGCTCCGCCCCCAGTCAGCACCTGAGGGTGATACCATTGATACGGGATCCATTGACCACTGGTAGTGATAAAATCGCCTCTAGTGCCCTTCGTTAGGGCAAAATGGGTATTTACTGTACTGTATAATTATGTAGGCCTATCTTTAAATTTTAGTGAAAATGTAAGTGTGTACTTGTGGTTTTGGGTGAATAAAGAGATTGATATTGATATTACTAATTTCTCTTCCTTCATTTTTTCTATATTCGTTTTTATGAGAATGCGATGACCAGTAGCCTTTATGTGCATCTGAGCTATTAGACGTTTGTTTTAGGTTCGAAGGTGTCCCTTTTACAGCGGTTGTACTGTATGTTCCAAGAAAACGACAATCCTGTTGATGTCTAATGAGTCTTTCTGTATTATCTTGAATGTAAAGGCTATGTACAACATGTCTATATACGCACGCACACACACACACCTATATATCTGTCTCTTATACACATCTAGATGTGTATAAGAGACAGGTTTAACACAGAATTGTGAAAAATGGAGTAGTTAGTATGTTGAGTGAGTTGAATGAATTAATGATATTGTCTATTTTTCATTATTGCTAGCAAACCATTGTAATTTTTGTTGCAGAAACTTTTTATTAAAATCTTTAAAATTCTCCACAATTTTTAAATCTGTTTTTACAGCAGGCAATCACATATATCATCAAAAAGCAGGGTAACTCGCCGAACCCAGAGCCAGGCATCAATTTCCAGACATCCGATTAGCCAATTGTCATACTCTACCAACGGCAAAGTGTGATGTGATGAAAAGTGTATGATGTTAGTCTCTGTTGAAAATTTAACCTGCATATATCTATACAGATAATAGGGACTTTTCTTACAATATTTCAAAAGCGTTGCACATAGGCTATCAACTACCCTAAATGAACATCTCAATTACCTGGTTAATTCATGCATTTATGCATGAATTTATTTATGCATTGTGAACAAATATTATATTTATAATGAAATATATTTACGCTTTTCCTTACTCGAGTTTTTAAAAACGGTGTTTATAATTGCCCTCGGTGTTCATTCCAAGTTTTCATAGGCCTAAGCCATCTTGACCCATATTCATCATGCCCCCAGGTTCTGGGCAACCCTGGTGGGTAAATTCTCGCTAAAGACATTTGAATTTCGTCGTGTCATTTGACTTGCGTCTTTCCATCTCTACAGAGTGTAAATGTAACTAATAAAACAATTCTTTGTTTCCGAGACCTGATTTCACGCATGAGTCAATTTAGCGCGAATAAGAAGTACTAAAGTGAGTAAGAATTGACCATGCCCTCTGCATGGTCAGATAGTGTCCGAAAAAAAAATTCAAGTCATCATCGTTTACCTAATAAAATTATAGACTGCTGATGAAGCAACTGATCTTTTACAGACTCCAAACGAAGAACCTTTGCAAATCTTAAAGTCAACCAGTAACAGATCCCCCGTCTTTATGATTCAAATTTGTCCAAGGAAACACTGAGAAGAATACAGTATCTTCATTACATATTAAAACAAAATAAAAATTACAAATATATAGGGTGACGTATATTTACATATTAATTTCTTTTGTGTAAAATTCGGATACGTATGTACTCAAATAAACGCCCCTTAATTTCACTGTAAATGTATGATGTTTGTTTAAATAGGGCCCACATTTTGTAGGCGAAAATTTTGAAAAAAAAAAAAAAAAAAAACCTTGGTTGGTAAAAAAAAATGGTTGGTTTTAGGCAGAGCGAAAGATAAACGATAGTCAAGGTATTTATTTCATTGAGGCTTTTGATTCTGTAAAGAAAATAAAAGTATAGACATACCACTAATATTCAATATATTCAATTAACTCTCATAATTGACCCATCCGTGTTTGATAAACTTTTTGGCGTTTTCGGATAACGACCGGTGGCGTAACTTGAGGCTGCATGATTTTTATTTCTGAAGTTTCTTTCGGTCGCCCATTCTGACGCCCATTTTTTTTTTTTTTTTTTTTTTTTAAGCTGGAAATGACATTGACATTAGCCTACATTATTTTATTCTAACAATGTATTTTATATAGATAAACAAAAAATACTTTGAAAAATTTTACATAATATTAACGTTATAATTGCAATTTGGTATTCAACAAATTTTCCTATAATATCCCCGCCGATTAGGCCGATTTCCCGATAGTATAGCATGGGTGGGGCCAGGGCAGCCCAAAACTCCTTAAAAAGTATCATAATGATGGGTCTAAATAGGGGCCCGAAAGGTTCCTTCATTGAAAAGATTTACTGGATCATTTTTTGTTTTATTACAGTAGTCCAAAATTAGTAATTGAATTGTTGATCTTATAACTTCAATTTTATAATTTGATAATTGTTTAGGCCCAACAAGCAAATTGACATTTTTAAAAACTTTGTAGGCCCTAAAATGCAAATTGTCATTTTTAAAATTTGTATTGTTCTTCTCTTGTTTGTTTCTTTGTTTTTGTTTTTTAAATAGTACTATGTAGTTTCGAATAGTTTTATGCTTTTTAATATTTTACTGTACCAGTTGAGTAAGGCTAGCTTGTGAAAATGCAACAATAGCCCTTAGTAGCTACAAATGTATTTTTCTTTAACTTTTCTTTAAAATTACGATACCAAGGTACTAGGCCTATATGACATTTCTTTTACAAACAATCCGTGGTTATAAAGGCCAACCGTACAACAGATTCAGGATTTAGGTCCTTACATAAACCCGAAGTAGGCCTATTTTTTTTTTTTTTTTTTTTTTTTTTTTTTTTTTTGTCGTTACATTTTAAACAGTTGATGGATTTCATTGAGCTGAATTTTAAGAAGTTTTGAAAGAAATTAATTACCATCGTTTTTAATTAAAACGTTAAATTAAAATACTGTAGGCCTAGATAACTTTCTCGTCAAAATTGATTTAATATGCTGTCAAATAATTTGAAACTCAATTTATTTAGACTTGTGTATATAGTGATCATTATTGATGATTGTACTTTTATTGGACATTGTCTCTAATGATAAATAAATAAATTAATTAAATACTGATATAATGTTTAGGCCTTTGTTCTGTGTAGGTTTATAGCAAGGTTTCTGTAAATGTCAGTTCACCATACACCGCGCCAGCTAGCGGTGGGGCGCGAATTACAATCTGTAAGTAATAATAAATTACACAGGGCATGGTCCAACACAAGATGTTGTTTGGTATGAAATATAGGCCTACAATCAATTCACTGTTACATTATTAGTGTTATATAAATGTAATATCGATATACCAGGTGGATTGCATGAAGAAATTTAGCTAGGCAACTTGGTGCATTTTTTTGTTTGTTTAATGGATATGTTGAAACGTTCTAGAGTAATTAGTTAGGCCTAGGTTAGGTAGACATTTGCCAAGGCTTGCAAGAGCCTAGGTACTGCTGTGGTACTGTAGTAGTATAGTAGGGCCCGGTATTGTCTAGCTGGATAGTAGTAGTAGTAGTAGGCTTACTAAGTGGAAGGCCCTGGCCCAGCTTGGGCCCCATCCATAGCTAACTCCCTACTCAGAAACTTCTGCAAATGAGCTTACAATTAAACAAAACGTAGGCTAAGCATGGGCCTGCAGTGCTGATGGTTTTTACTTTAACTTTACATGGACCTCTCAATCAAGTTAGTAAAATGCATTTCAGTGACCATGTATGTATTTGGATACGCTCTCCAATTAGCGCCGCACCAAACATGATTTTTTTTCGTTAAGCGCCACTCTCGAATAAGCACCTCGGCGCTTAATCAAGAGTATATATTACCCTGTGTGTAATGAAACACATCGAGAAACAGGGTTTTAAATAAAATGTATAACAGTGTTAAAATGAATAAATAAATAACACAATGAAGACTCGTGCATTTCTTAATTTATATAAACGTTTATTTACGATGATGTAGGGCCTATGATAGGCCTGGCAAACTATGAGGGATACGTGAAAGGTAAACAGGGGAATGGGCATGGAAAGCACCACGCCAATATTGTTTAGAAGCGCCGATCTCGAATAAGCCGCACCAAAAATTTTATAAGCGCCACGGCGCTTATTTCGAGCATTTATGGTATCCATTAATACAAAATTTCCATAACACCTAATAATTTGTGCGCAGATGATACCTCAAAAACCAGCTCAAATTTTTGCGTGGAAAATCACTAAGGAAAATACTCTAGGTGTGCAGAATCATAATTACTGCATAATACATTGTTTATATATTATTAAGATTAGGTCAAAATCTAATTTCCGGCAAAATCTGTGTGGTAATCGGCCATTATTTTCTGAAATGCATGGACAGATTTCTTGTCCAAATTTTTGCGCCGAGGATATATTCTCAGTGCAGGCCTTACCATACAGTCTGGTATCAATTTGGTATTTTAGCTTTCAAAACACTTGAGTTAAGGTCTTCCTTTTTTGCATACTCTGATCATAAAGTATGTTCAAATTTTTTATTGGACATTTGCTGTGCAGTAGGCCTATAAACCACTAATCAGCGGATTATTAATGATTGTAAACAAAAATGTCAATAATTTTTAATTGTGATTATAAAAAGTTGCATACAGTACTTGCAAGCCATCGAGTTTGTGTCAGTATAGGTCTGACTCATGACTGATACCATTTAGTGTTCATTAAATTAATTACTGAAATATATTTTTTTTTAAATCATTAGTGGAAATGTTGAGAATTATTCAAAAACACCTCAAGGGTTGATTGCTTACTGGTGTATGAAAATACAATTAAAAAATCTGCATGAATCTCTGAATTCAAATTGAGATTTGATTAAATTATCTAATAACATTGCACTTCTTCATTTATCCTTGACTTTTTTTACTTATGATCTTATGATAAATAGTTTCTTAATTAGTAGCTAATTATCTAACAAAATTAAGTCTTGTAAAAACTAAAGTCATTGTATCTTTCATAGCCAAGAGGAAGTTTCAGCGTATTTAAAATATGTTCTCGAAAGTTAGACATCAAAGAATTGAGTATTAATTCTGATTAAATCACAAAGGAAATTAGTTGACGAATACATGATTATTTTCTCCTGGCTTTTACACACCTTTTAAATGCTAGGTTATTGTTTTGTTGAATTTATGCGTAATTTCTGTGAAGGTTTTTTTTTTTTTTTGGTTAAACTGATAATGAGAACATTAATCAATTCATCCGTTGATTGATTAAGTACAAATTGTTTAGTAACTGTTGGATAAGGCCAAAAAATAATCAGTTCTCAATCTCCTTTCTCATTCATCATATATCATTATAAACAGTATAAAACTTGTCCAACCATTGCTGTGTATTTTTTTTAGGAGATGCTTGGGAAGTTGTTATGTGATAGCACTTATACAGTATGATATGCCAGTTATAGGCAGAGAACAACGCACTACATTTTTCCTTGTAAATAATAGAGGAAGTCTTGTTATAGTGTTTACAAGCCCTTTGGCAAATGTAGCCAATTGTCAAGGTTTGTGTTAAAAGCTCCCTACCAGTATTTCTGACCTTGTTGGCTGCTTTGATATCTAGCGTGATGTAATCAGTATTTTAAGTAAACTTTAAAAGCATAATGCTATACTGTAGTTAGTCAGTGTAGATATTAAGTGAAACCAGTGTTCAGAATGAAAACATTTCTATTCATGATTCCTTGTTACAATTGACCACATGCCTTTTTAATATTGCATTATTAATTTAAAAGTTAATGACATCTGTACATATCAAGATCTCTACGCTATACTTTCTTTTTATGCCCGAGTTAATTACAAGACAGATTTATGAATTATTTTCACAATGATTCAATAATATTAATAGTAAGAAAGAGAAAATAATGATAATAAAATAATATATGATGAATTTATACTCCGTCTATTTGCTAAAGAGATACTGTACTGAGTACTTTTTTGCTCTTCAACTGTGCTTTAACTGTGATAAAATCAAGGTATTCACTTTGTCAATATTTATTCATTATGTATAACATTAAATTAAATGTTCATATTTTTTTACAGTATCCTCGATGGGCTTTACATATATTGTTACTAAAACCTTCCTGTTTATGATATCCATCCAAAGGTAAGATTCTGTTTGTATATTAGTGTATTAATTAAAGCCATTTGAAAGATTTAGATGTTGTTTGTGGATGTAGAATATTGTTTATCTGATTAGCCAAGTGTGTTTCCAAGGAAACATCCCAGCATAAAACAAGACACTTTACTACATAAATATCAGCATTTTGTCCAGCTTGCTAATTTGATTATTCGTTGAAGGTATTAAATTAACTATTACTAAGCACTTGTCATTGTCAATTTCATGATGACACATTTTGCAAAGTGTTAATCTGGAGTTCCCTAAAAATATAACTGACCAATCAGAACAGAGTTTTTAGGCTGTTATCCTTTCTATTACCAAGTATTTCAAATTTATCTTAATTTATCCATACAGACCAATTTATCTGAAACAAACTATACTACGTTATCAGCAAGTTATATAAGTCTTTTACGGTATATGTGTCTGAAGCTTGCCCACTGTAGTTTGTCTCCTCAAGGAGGTATTATAGCCTCCATGGTCTCCATGCTATTAACTTTTAGTAAGGTTATATTTATTGCAGGGGTGTGCATCAAAATCGGTCGGAGGTCCAAAGTGGATTTTTGATTTAGCAAAGAGGGCCGCACCCGAACTTTCCAATGTGCTTCCAAAAAGCCTACAAGCACTGCTTTTACACCACTTTATTCTCAGTTTTAATGTTACTTTTTACATATGATCGGTGTTGGGACATAAAAAACTAGGTGTTTTCTAGCCATTGTTGCTTGGCGGGCCGCACACATAGTGTTTTTAATTCATTTTCGTGGGCCGCAAACAAAATCGCTGTCAGGTTGCATGCGGCCGGCGAGTTGCACTTTACCCCACCTGTGATTTACTGTATATGCAGCCTAATGAATATTTCAGCCTAAATATTTCACAATGCACTTTACTTCATAGTTTGACTAAACAAATTCCTCCATGATTTGATCAAGCTATCTGAGACACATAATATGGAAATCCTGCTAAAATTTCTGAAATCAGTAGACTTGTACCACTAAGACTAAAGGGAAATTTATCAAAGTATTGTGGTGGGTGAAGCTACTCAATGGTTGTCTAATCAACATGTAAATGTAGTGGCAGTCTAGGAATTTGAAATAAAGGAGACCTAGAAAATCTTTTACAGTAGGTGGGTCCAGGGTCCTAAAAGCACAAAATGTTATGGCTTTGAATAGATACCCAGATGGCTGGAATTGGCACACATACTTAAATTTTAGTGTTATTTCCTTTTCCTCCATTTTTTTAGTAGGAGGAAGAGGGTGGCTGGCTGTTTGGCCCCACCACCCTCTTAAATTTGCTTCTGTGATGGTGGATTTACGTCCAACTATTATTGGATAGATTTTTATGGGGCTTATGAAGTCCTCAATTTACTCACTTCAGTGGATGCTGTTAGCTTTCGAAAAAAGATTATTGAGTTGATAGTCAGACAAAATGATTGAGATTCATTAATATAATGTCCTGCATAATGATTATCAGCTTACAAAATTGTAATAAAATCAGGTATACAAGCTGGTTTGTTTTAACAGTATGACTTATAATCTATTCTAACCTAATTCATTGCCCTTTTTTTTTAAGTTGGACCCAGGGTTCCCCCTACACCTACAGGGGTTTCAGCAAGGATTGTACATTATTGCCATTTACCACTACCATCATAGTGCACGTCACATGAATGGCGCAATCAGTTAAGGATGTGTTCTAAAGAACTTAAGGTCGTGAGTTCGAATCATATATTTAGCAAGTTTGAATCGTGCATATTTTTTTTTCCATTTTGTCAAACAATTCTCATCCATGTTCATATAAACATTATATTTATTTAAAAATGACTGTACATTATTGCCATTACCACTAATATGGCACATCGCATAAATGGCGCTGTCGGTTAAGGATGTGTTTGTTCTAAAGAACTTAAATTCTTGAGTTTAAACTCGTCTTGGTATTCAATTTTTTTCCCAATTTATTTATTTATTTTAATTTTGTACAAATGATCATTCTAAACAATGTTTTTTTTGTACAAATTTGTAATTATTTATAAATTTCTATCTTATTAGCTCTTCCAAAAAAACCCAATATAATAATTGCACCTGTACCGTATTTAAGCATGAAGGAACGCACAGACCTGGTGAGCGGTTGCTCTTGTTAATATAGTGCTTTATTTAATCGTAAGGTGTAGAATATTTTTTAAGTCATGGAATATGAAATGTTGATTGAGTGCTATACAATTATGTTCCAATTCCATAGTTAAAAATGTAGTGGTGGTTGGCACATCAGTTGTGGCTTGGACTCCCAACCTTGAGGTCAGGGGTTTGGAGCTCTCTCTATGCAAGGCGCTTGTGTCCTTGGGCAAGGCACTTTATCTACATTTGTCTATCTCTACCCAGGAGTATAAATGGGTACTCGGTGGTTCACTACTGGGAAAGGAACTGGCCACCCTACCACATAATACCAAGGCTTAGTACGATAGGCTAACAGCACATTCCCCTACGTTCAATAATGAATATGGGACTACCTTTGCCTTTAGTTAAAATAATATTTTGGTCATTTAATATCATACTGTACAGTATGTTTCCTTTTTGTGTTTGCAAAGTATTTTTATTCCTTGGTCATTAGATAAAGTAAAAAATGAATTATTAATTGAAGCATTGTACTTTTTTATTCCATAAAATACTCTTGCCATTGCAGAAATATACACCAATATTATTTATTTTATATTACTATATTAGTCATTATACTACATACAATAAAATAACTTTTGGTTTCTTGTGTGTCAATGAATCTGCAAATTGGATGCTGCCGATGCTGAATTATTCTGTCATTGATTCCATTGTTATGTATTCGTTTTGTGTCGATTCCAAAATGTGATGTGTTACAATACACTTAACAGACGACTGTGTATTTGTTTTGATTTTGGTCTGGTCATCATCATGACATCCAAGAAAATTCTCTCCTGTTGAACATGCTCTGTGACAGACCCATTATGTTTTTTTTTTCATTTTATATTATTGTTGTCACGTATATTTTGCTTTTGTTCATGATAAACCGTACCAAAAGTTTAAGTTGAAAATTAACACTCAGCAATAACATTAAGGCCAATTAACGGATGACAAAATATCAAGACAAAACATCTGTTATGAAACTTAACTCTTGCATTGTCATCGCGTATGAAATCACAAAAGGCCTCGGTCTCCATCCACATCACCTGCATTTGTTTTAAAAGTCATCCTTCTTATCACCGAGAGCAAAAGGTAAGCCTGATGTAAAATTATTGACAAAAAATAACCAATTAGACAGGGAAAATTGCATGTTGATCAAGGAATCAGACTCGAGCGTAGATTTTACTCGGTTTAGCATGGGAAATTAACATAAATCCTATGCCTTAATTGCTAGTAATCCCCTCTGATAAAGCCATTAGTGAAGTTGTTAAGAACGGCATGACAATGCACCTTCCTTTTGACCTTGCTCGTTATTTGCGAACAAAAAACGATGAGACTTACTTTTTATGACAGTTTTTTTCCCCTTCTGGTTCACCCTTGCTTTAACAATGCATGCCTGTTTGAAGGGAGGAGGCCTGACTCATTTTCCTGTACTATGTTCTTTGAGGTGGAGATCACGTTGAAGTAAGGGAAGGACAAGTCACCCTCATGTGTGTATATCTTCACCTCTGTCAGGATGTTGCTACCCCTTTGTTCGTGCACCTTGGGTGCTGTTCTGAGGTGTATTTCAACGCCTTCTTATCTGTCTGTCCATCAGTAGATCGATTAGAAAAGAAATGCAATATGATGAATGAATGTGTCATTGTAAAGGACAAGTTCTTTTTGCAATAAAACTTTGATGTCAAGAAGTAGAAAGATGTCACTCAAGATTGAGACTTGTCGTCATATGGTTTCACCAAGGTTGTTTTATGTACATAATATTAAATTGCTTTGTCGTCCTCCTCATCAAGTAATCAGTTCTTCACCAATATTCTCGGTTGTCTGTAGCAAGGAAACTTTTTGGCCTTTCTAGAGATTTTGGTAGAGAAGGTAATTGGAGCATTGTAGTCACTCAGTTTTAAATTTCACAATATGAATATCTCCGCTGGATGGAAACCATCCAATTTTGGAGTTTCAACATGTTGCAGTACTAAAAAGTTTCTGTGCCCAACACAAAAACTCCAAAGTCAGAGATTTTGAGTCTTGAATGCTATTAGTTTTTGCATACTACTGTACAGTATACACAAATATTTTATATTGGAAAGGAATTTTCAAAAGTGTTTCAAACTAGCTACAGCTGGGTTAAATACAAAATTACTGGAAATGCACGACCAATTTTCGTCCTCAATCTGCTGAAATGATGAATGAACTAAAAAAAATGCACTAGCCTCCGTAGGGTCGGGTGCTTTGGTGCAACGGTTAAATCTCACCACTTCACCCTCACCAGTACCATTGCATAATTTGAGTCTCACTGACGTCAAATTTGTTGCCATGTTCTTTTTTTATTTCATAATCATAGCTTTTCTTTATTATGATTTTACTTTTGTTTTTTATTTATTTTATTTTTGCTTTATATTTTTTTACTGAATTTCTTAGACAATTAGATAAAAAGGAAACATTGTTTTTAATTATAATTTTGTTGTTGTTAATTATACATTGTAACTTGTATTATTTTTGTTATTGCTAATTATTATCAATTATTAATGTTATTGTTATCTTCATTATTATTAATTATTAAAAATAGAATAAGCAATGTTTAATTGATCAAATCCACTGTAATAAGAACAGAACCATTTTAATAGTATTCCCATTGAACCTGCGACATGTACAGAAATAGAAATACTTTCCTTTTTTAAATATATCAAACCAAAGCTGGAGAAAGTGATACTCCAGAGGAGATTTAACCATCAAAGATAATAAGGAAATTGGTAATAATCATAATGCTATTAATTAACTCAAATTACTTGTCAATTACCTATTTACAGAAATCATTTTCTAAAAGAAATAACAGATTTACTCATGACT